ACCTGGTGAATGGAATGGAAGAGGGGAGCAGAGCCAGGAGCAGCACTGCAGCTCTCAGAGGTAACTGCCACCCAGTGAGGTTTTAAAACATACTCCTTTCCCTGCTATTTTGGGACCAGAGAGCCTTTGTGCTGATGAGGGACGGTAGAAATTACTGGAGGTGGTTGGTGTGGAGGGAAACTGTCCGGACCAGTGCCAGCTATTGTATGGAGGCCCATTTCTCCAGAAGAGGAACAGGCACCTTTGGGCTTCTCCGTCTCCAGCTCTTCAAACTTTTGGGGTGTTAGATCTTCCAAGACACCTCCACCTTCTTCCAAAGGATCTGTAACTCTCAGAAGGGAGGCTCCCAGAAGCTGGGACTCTCTCCCCAGGAGAGAAGGCTGCCCAGGGTGTCTGGAAGAGGCTGCAGGGGAAAGAGGAAGTGGATTGCAGAGATGTTAGCTGGGCCTGGGTCACCCACCTGGAGCAGAAGCCTCTTCCTCAGGCAAAGCAGGCCAAGAAACTATTTAGGTACTACACACTCTGTGACCTAGCTGACCAGGACACCCCTTGCCCGGGAGCTTAAGAAAATGCCACCATATCCCGCCTGCCCGCTCAGAGCCCCTCAAATACCTTTTTCTAAAGATCAGTGCTGATGGGATGGGTGGGTGGAGGATTCTGTTAAGCCAAAAGGAGTTACCTTCTTACGGTCAGTGGTCACCTGCAGTCACAGCCAGCCACCCAGCCACCCTTAGCATCCACCAGGGTACCTTTGCTCAGTTACAAGACAGGGTGTGCTTACACCTGAGAGCCTAGCCATGCCTGTTTCCTTGAAGTCAGTTGGCTGTTACTGGACCACCTGAGGCACACGGGCATGTCATCGACAAACCCCCAGGGAAAGCAGAGTATTTAGCCCATATTTTGTCTGAAGCAATCAGGAACCTTAGACCAGAAAGCTGTAAGAGGGCATTGGCCTACATGAGGTCCAGGATGCAGGAAATAGCTGGGGATGGAGGCCAGAAGGCCAAGCTCCACTGGGAGTAGGCGCTGAAGAGCTTCTGCAGGTGTCCAGCCCACAGCCCTGTGTGTGGGCTGACTCCTTTCCTGGCCACCCGGCCCAGCTACTGCAAGAGGGACACATCAAAGGGAGGCAAGTGCAAAGAGGCAGGGAGGGGATGGAGAGGACCCCACCTCTTCCTTTGTGTTTAGTATTGAAGGTTTGGGGAGCAGCCACTTGAGATTCAAGAAAGGAATGCCTGGCCTTGGCTGGCAGCGAAGCATACTCGGCCCCTAAGCACCTGGCAACAGTATTTGATCCAACCGTGTTAGACATGGCTCTAGTTGCCCACGCATGAGCTGGGTGGGCATCCAAGCAGCCCACTGGTAGGCACTGTGCATGGGGGAAGTGAACAGTGCTTATCCAGTATACAAAACTGTCAATATTTTTGCAGTCCTGATACAGTGAATTGTGGTACAGCCTGGAAGAGACTTTCCTCCAAGCTTTAAACTCACTTCTACAGCCTCCCACTCAAGCCCCCAGTTTACAGTTCTTGTGTGAACCAGGAGATCAGTCTTCTCTCGCCATAGGAGCCCTCCCTCGGGAGCCAGATGGCCAGTAGAAGTGGTGAGGGAGTGCCCTCGAGCGGTCATATTCGGGATGGCAGCTGGTAAAGGGAAGGAAGGGTGGGGGGGTCCAGTCTAGGAATGCGTCCAATGATGCCTGTGTGTTCCTGACTGGATCTTAAGAACTAAAAAGTGGTAATGTTAGAGTAGGAAAAAGCCCCATTTAAAAAAAGAAAGAGGGACAGGAGAGATGGCTCAGCGGCTAAGAGCACTGACTGCTCTTGCAGAGGACCCGGGTTCAATTCCCAGCACCAACATGGTGGCTGCTAACCGTCCTTAACTCCAGTTCCAGGGGAATCCGAAGCCCTCTTCTGACCTCCGTGGCACTGCACGACACGGGTGCACTCACATGCAGGCAATACACTCATACACATAAAATAAAAATAATAAAATATTTTTTAAAAAGAAGGAAGGAAGAGAGAGAACACGAAGTTGTCAGAAAAAATGATGGGGAGACATGGGAGATGTTGGAGGGGAGGGAGTGGATTTGATCAAAACACCTTATATGCATGTATGAAGTTCTCAATAAAGTTTCTTTTAAAAGTTTAAAAAGGGGTTGGGGATTTAGCGCAGTGGTAGAGCGCTTACCTAGCAATCGCAAGGCCCTGGGTTTGGTCCTCAGCTCCGAAAAAAAAAAAAAAAGTTAAAAAAAAGAACCCCCCCACCCCCCTGAAAAAAGAAAGAACTAAAAAGTAAGCAGTTTTAGTGGCGAGGGGAAAGACATCTTTCAGATCGGGCACACCTGTGATCTTGATTTCAAGAATAGCCTAGGTTACACATTGAGTCCCGATGTCAAAAAACAAACCAGAGAGGCCAGAAAGATAGGTTGTCAGTGAAGAGTGCTTGCTGCTTTTCCAGAGGATCTGAGTTCTGTCCCCAGCACCCACATGAGGCAGTTCAAAACCTTCTGCAACTCTAGCTCCAAGGGATCCTACAACACCCTCTTCCATCCTCCACAGGTATACACACACACACACACACACACACACACACACGTGACAAACACATGTTTATGTGGGGAAATGGTTCAGTGGGTAAGTTCACTTGGTCTGCAAGCACAGAACCTGAATTTGAATCCTCAGCATCCATGTGAAAAGCTGGGCTTGGTTACCTGTGCTTGTAACCAGCACAGGGGGGTAGAATTGGGCAGATCCCAAGAGCACACAGGTAAGCCAGCCTAGCACAACCAATGAGGTTCCAATTCTAGGAGGGATTCTGTTTTATGACAACAGGGGAAGATACCCGACTTCCTGCTCTAACCTCCATATCTGTGTGCAGCGGCACAAGCATCCACACATTCACAGGCATATACCTCTCTCTCTCTCTCTCTCTCTCTCTCTCCCCTTGGGACTCCACTAGGGACTCCACTAGAGTCAGGGGAGTAGGGTCAGAGGTCATCTGGCCAGGATGGAAATAGTCCAAGGTCAGGAGCTGGGGAGTGTTGCATTAGAAAGATGGCAAGAGCTCCAGGCCAGAAACTAGAAAGCAACAGGCAGAGCCCCAGAGCACTGGATGGGGAACTGGAGAGCACCATGTCAGAAGCCCAGTCTGGTTTATTCTCATTACCTGAGGCTGTGTGTCCAAAGAAGCCTTCCATAGCCTGTAACCTCCCTCTGCCGTGGACATGGAACCCTCTGATAGGTAGTTTCTGAGAGAGTTATCCTGCCCCTCTGCTCTGCCTGTACTATGGAGCACATGGTCAGGTAGGTATTGGTCCTTTTTGTCTCAGAGGGAGGTACCCCTGGTGCATCCCCAGAGGTGTGGCCACATCCAAATGGAGAGCAGAGAGAGCTGGTACCCACTGCTGACATAAGCAGCAAAAGTTGTAGCAGCTGTACTGACATACTATCAACAGACCATAAAATCCATACATTCCAAGCGTAGGATTCATGAGCCTGGGTATATATTCTACAGTGTTAACTTTTTATAATATTATTTATAATATTATGTTTATGTGTGTTTTGCCTGCATGTATCTAAGTGTACCATGTGCATGCAGTGACCATGGCAGTCAGAAGAGGGCATCAGATCCCCTGGAACTGGAGTTACAGATGGTTGTTAGCTATCATGTGGGTGCTGGGAACTAAACCCAGGTCCTCTGCAAAAACTGCCAGTGCTCTTAATTCTCCAGCCCCTACAGTGTTAGCTTTTAAAATAGTAGTAAATATATGAATACAGATGTTGAAATCTTAGTAAGTACATAACTCAATGGCCCTGAGTACACTTACAGTGCTATACGGCCATCACCACAATCCATGGCAGGACTTTCTGTCCTCATTAGCAGAATACCCCATCCCCCACCACCAAAGACCCCTATCTACTCTAGCTTTAAGTTATCCTACTGTGGATGCTTTTCCTAAGCGTGTATTCTGGCCGACAGCCTCATTTTTAGCATGTTTTCAAAGGCATGTTGCGGAGTCCTTCCTTATTTACACTATTTCACTGCATGTGCGTGTTACCTTTGTTTACTCTTCTATCCCAGGTAGACAAGATTTCCACCTTTTGGCTGTTATTTAAAACTCTGAAGGGAACTCTTGGAAAACCAGTATCCACGGTGCACCTTTCAATTTTATTGTGATTAACGTATTCTGATTTCTATAGATTAAAAATCCATTTGAGTTACGACCACTGCTAATTTTTAATGACACTTGTGGGCCTTGTTTTTGAGACAGGGTCTCACGTAGCTTAGGCTGGTCTCGAACTGCTACATAGCCAAGAATGGCCTTGAATTTTCTGATCCTCCTGTCCTCACCTCCTAAGTGCTGGGATTTGAGGCGTGGGTGCTACCTCGCCCTGTTTTATGCAGTGATGGGCTAGTAAGGTGCTAAGTAAGCCCTCTACCAATTGAGCCCAACCTCAGCCCCTACCCGCCCTCCCCCCCATTTTTTTGAGACAGTCTTTTCATGTAGCCCAGGATGGCCTCTAACTTCCTGCCCCAGCCTCTTATTGCTGAGATTATAGGTGTGTGCCATCACACGGGATGTGACAGTTTTTACAAGCACAGGCCGGCGGGACGCAAGGAACACGGGCGACGCCGAGCGCCAAGGCGGACCGAGGCCGCAGGGAGGGCTATCCCTCGGCAGGTCGGGGCTTCTGCACACCGCGCTGCATGTGCGGGGGAATCCCATGGACCGTCAGGCTCACCGGGCTCGGAGCCTCCCTTTCCGGACCCGCAGAGCCCGGAGACTCCGCGCCGCACACACGCGGCCGGGCCTCCCCAAGCCAGCCAGCAGCCGCTCGCCTATTGGCTGAGAGCGCAGCAGCCCCAGCCAATCCCCGGGCAGCGTCCGGGCATCCAATGGGAGCGCAGGGAGAACGCCTGCGCACTGGGCCCGGACCGCGCTGCTGCCCGGCGGCTCTCGCTGCCCCCCACGTGACCGGCGCCAGGCGTGGCATTGTTAGGAGCAAAGGTCTCGGTACCGAAGCTGAGAGCGGACTGTTCCAGGCCCCTCCGAGGCGTGTAGCGAGAGCAGCCTCGGTCCGGGACGTGCAGCCCGGGATAGCCCCGGAGAGGCAGAGCCGACCTGGCTGCTCCGGCCTCCTTCAGCTCAGAGGAGCGGGAGCATGGAGCAGTGAGGACAGTAGCCGCGCTTCAGGGCTCCAGACCCCAGCATTGCAGGAAGCCAGACCCACTGTCTCCTTCTTACGAAGACCTCATCACCCCACCCCGTCTAGGTCCGCGTTACACCCCACCCCCACCCCACCCCCGCCTGTACCTTGCTCCTCAAGGCCCAGCTGGTTGGATCCTGAACCTTAAATCCTACCAGGAGCGAACAAAGGCAACCCGTGGGTGGGGCCCGTGGGGCCCTGGCTGGAGGCCCCTGGGCTCACCTCCTGCTCTGCGCGGATGGTGTGTTGCATCACCTGCCCGCCTTGCCTTGGTAAGGAATCTGTGCACTCAGAGCCCTAGGAGGACGGCTGGGAACTCTACCCCACCTGACCACCCTGTGCTATGGCACCCGCCTCACCCCATTGTCCTAAGTGATCCCTGGACCCAGACTGCTCAGCCTGAAAACCTTTACACCGTCCCTCCCTCTAGAGAGTGTAAGGAAAACAAAGCAGGGAGAGAGAAAAAGCCAACCCTCTTCGGAGCAAGCCCAATTATTCAAGAATAAATCTGGCCAGGCACACACCCCACACTGCCCAGGGTGGCTGGAGGAGTGGGCATCCCCTGGAAACCCAGGATCTGAAGGATCCCTTAGAGATTTGGGGTTTTTCTATTTCCCCCCCTTCTCGGAGGGGGAAGGGATGGGGGGCTAAGGGTTGTGTCGTCTCGGGCAGGTGCAGGGTAGGTTTACTCATTATGAGGAGGGTCATTCATGCAGGACTCCGGTCCAGGGAGTGCCCTGTGATTGAGACTGAGTCATATCAGGAGCCAGTGGTGAGTGGTACAGCCTTCCAGGAAAGGTACCAGGGAGTGGTGACCATGGGAAACACATTCAGAGCCTAAGATTTCTCGTTCAAGGAGGACCCCTCCCAGCAGTCTAGGCTCCTCCTTCCTACCTGGTGCCCCTTACCCAATAGGTGACTTATTTACAATCCGTTTGGTCAGCTAGGGTTGAGTCTGGCCTTCCTGGGGAGGGGAGGCTCTGTTGTAATCTGTCAGCCATAGTGGGAGTAGGGGGCAGCTGGAAAGGCATCCTTGGAGCGAGGGCAGCCCTGGGCAGTGGGAGCTGCTGCTCAAACACCTGAAACTTCCCACTAAGAAAACGGGGTGGTGGTGGGAGTGGGGGCGCAGAACATATCTCCATTCAACATTGCTATGTCCAGAAAGTGAGCACCAGGTGGCCAGAAGGTCCCCAGGGCAATGACACAGATAGCATTGGCCAAAAGTGGGCCCACAAGATGTGCCCTGGCCAGGCAGGCCTCCTACAACCTGAGCCCCTTCCTGCCTCTCCTTAGCAGTTCAGCTACTGTGAGACCTTTGGGGAAGAGCCTGGCTCAGCAGCAGGCCAGGGGCACCAAGTTGGTGTGGGCAGCTGGATTCACCCTCTGAGGAAGGGCTTGAAGGACTCTGTGGTGGGCAGGAAGGAGGAAGCCAGAGCAGCCCTAAGAGCAACTTAGCAAGAGTCTGTCCACCACCCACCCCATTGTTACCTGAGGTTCGCTATGATGATGTACTTAATTCGTTTTTTAAAAATATTTTATTTTTATGTGTTTGCATGTATTGCCTGCATGTAAGTAAGTGCACCCATGTCATGCAATGCCCACAGAGATCAGAAGAGGCTGTCGGATCCCCTGGGACAGGAGTTATGGACAGTTGTTAGCTGCCATGTGGGTGCTGGGATTCGAACCTGGGTCTTCTGCAAGAATAGTGTTCTTAACCGCTGAGCCATCTATCCAGCCCCTTAATTCATTTTTTAAAAAGGACAAGAGGCGCTGGAGAGATGGCTCAGGGGTTGAGAGCACAGACTGCCCTTGCAGAGGGCAGCTACCAATTAGGTGTAACTCCAGTTTGGGGGGATCTGACATCCTCTTCTGGTCTCCACAGGCACTGCACACACAATGTATTTACATACATGCAGGAAAACACTCATACACATAATTTAAAAAAATTCAAACCATGCTTGAGGGGGGTGTTCCAGTTTGTTTCTCCATTGCTGTGACAAAACACTAACCAATACCAACTTGGGGAGGAAAGGGTTTATTCAGCTTACATCTCCCAGGTCACAGTTCATCAGGGAGCCCAAGGTAGGAACTCAGGGCAGGAACCTGGAGGCAGGAGCTGGAGCACAGGCCATGGAGGAACACTGCTTACTAACTGACTCCTCTGACCTCTGCTCTGTCTGCTTTCTTATACAACATAGGCCCACTTGCCTGGAGCTGGAACCATCCACAGTTGGCTGGTTCAACTCGACAATCAAGAAGATGGCCAATAGAGGCAATTCCCCAACTGAGGCTCCCTCAACCCAGGTGTGTCAAGTTGACCCTAAAACTATCCAGCACAGGGGTGCATACCTTTAATCCCAGCACTTGGGAGGCAGGGTGGATCTCTGTGAGATCAGGCCAGACTGGTCTATATAGTGAGTTCCAGGCCAGCTGCCACAGGAAGACTCTATCTCAAAAAATAAAACCAAAGATAGCTGGGGGTAGTGGTGCAAGCCTTTAATCCCAGCACTTGGGAGGCAGAGGCAGGCGGATCTTTGTGAGTTTGAGGCCAGCCTGAGTTCCAGGACAGCTGGGGCTACAAGGAGACCCTGTCTCAAAAAGACAAAAAAAAAAAAAAATTAAGTAAAATAAAAATGGACGAGGGCTAGAGAGATGGCTCAGTGGTTAAGAGCACTGGCTGTTCAAGCAGAGGACCCAGGTTCGTTTCCTAGCATCCATATGGCAGCTCACAACCATCAATATCTTCAGTTCCAGGGACTCCAAAGCCCACTCTGGCCTCTGTGGACAGTGTGCTTGTATACATGCAATTAAAACATCCATACACGTAAAAATAAATTTTTTAATGAATAGGCAAGATTACATATTTGATTTCCTCAGAGGCCACATGGGACAGGGAGCTGACCAACTTCTGACCCTTAGATGGCTGACAGCCATGTTCCCAGACCCCGATACTCATTCGGCTCTGCTGCCTGCCCTCAGTAGTGGTCTCCTCTTGTATAGCCCATGCCAACTGGCTTATTTACCTGAAGCCTGTCACTGAGTCTTGCTTCCATACCTTCTGAGGGCCAGGGTGTGGGCAGCAGCCCTGACCTCTCCTTGGGTCTAACAAGATTGTGCTGTGGTTCATGGGGGCAGTTTGGACCCTAAGCATTCCTTAGTCTAGACCTCAAGACAGGCAAAGTCAGCATCACCAAGACGGTTTTATTTGCAATAAAAAGAAACAGAAAATATCCAAGTCTTAGTATACACTGGGAGGGCAGAGGTGGGCTGAACTTGCAGGACCTCCCAGGAAGGGCTGGGAAAGAGCCATGTTGTGCTGCCAAGGTGTGGCTCTCTATCGGCTCCAAGGCCTGAGGTTTGCTTACACAGTTGACAAACCTGTGGCCAGCAGAGCAAGGCAGGAATGATGGCTCTTGTGGAATCAGGCTGCCGATGTTGCTGTGGTTTCTGTTTCTCCTCAATGTGGACAGGAGCTGGAGGTGGGCTAGAGCCTCAGCAGTGGCCTAGAGGTGAACCCAACAGCCCAATCAAGTCTTCAGATACCACAGCCCCAGCCCAAGCTTGGCCACGCTTTCATGGGAGACCCTACCAGAACTATCCCAGTCTGCTATGTGCTCACTCCCGGACACTGTGTGAGGTAGCAGATGTGTGTTTCAAGCCACTGGGATATGAGGTCATTTGTTGCCCACTAATAAACAGTTGATACATCATCTGGATTGGGGCATTTTTCCTTTTTTACTTTAAATATTTTATTATTTCTATTTTATGTGTATAAGTGTATTGCCTGTATGCATGTAAGTGCACCCATGTCGTACAATGCCCGAGGAAGTCAGAAAAGGGCATTCGATCCCCTGGAACTGGAGTTAGCCAGCATGTGGGTGCTGGGATACAAACCGGGGTCCTCCGCAAGAGTAACCAGTGCTCTGGACAGCCGAGCCATCTTTCCAGACCAGACTGGGGCATTTTTCATGACCATAATGAAATATGGGAGATGGGATCACTTTAAAAAGAAAAGAGGTTTATGTACAATTTGGGAGGCTGGAAGGAACTGGCATTCACTCAGCTCTGGTGAGGGCCCAGTGGCAGTGTCACAACATGACAGAAGCCAAAGGGAGAGCCCGGCCCCACAGCCCCTCATGCAGCTGAACACACAGAGGCACTGGTTTTTATGAAAACAGCGCAGAAGAAAAGAGAAAACCTGTATCTACACAAATTCCTTTTTGATGAAAGGCAGCAGGCGGAGTCCTGCATTAGAGGTCCAAGCCCCAGGAAGGAGCCTGGACGCCTCCTTTCCATGCTGGTCCCAGCCCAGGCTCTGCGTCACCTGCTCCTCCAGGAGTCAGCCTCCAGTCCTCCCGTCACTTGATGCCCAGGTGTTTCTTCTGCCCTGAGAATTCTTACCCCCTCACCCTCAATCCCCCCCAACCCCCAGTTATGTGAGACTACCCATCCCCCAGGGCTCTGCTCACCACCTGAAGGGTCACATGCAGACTCTCAGGCACTCAGCTGGTATACAGTGGGTGCTTACTAAATGTTTGCGAGCAGGTTTTTGGTCTCTGTTACAATCAGAAGTGGGGCTAGGGAGACAGAGAGGAGAGAGAGAGAGAGAGAGAGAGAGAGAGAGAGAGAGAGAGAGACTACTCGTTTTCACGGTCTAACACACAGCTCCCCAACCTGCCAGGAAGGGCAGACACGACAGGAAGGGCAGACACCACGCATGCAGCATCGAGGTTATGGGCCTTAAATGCATAGCTGGTAAGGGAGCGAGCGGGATGAACTGACTTCAGCAGCTGGCTCAGAGTCCTCGCTCTTGCTGCCCTGGAGCAAAGCCACCTGCTCTGCTGCGGCCTCGCATCTCCCAGGACCTCCTGCCGACCAGACAGACATTAGCTCCAGGGCATAGCTGGCCGGCAGCCTGCCCAGCACCCGCGCAAGCCAATCAGAGCGGTGCTGCCGGCCCTGCGTTGTGATTGGGTCAGGCAGTACAGGCCTCGCCCAATCAGAACGCAGTTTTCTATGACCACAGGGCTGCCAGGAGCACAAGGCTATTGTTTGTCCTGAGCAGCGTGGTCTGGAGAAGCCAGGATTACTTTGCCACCAGGATGGTATGTGTGGTGTATGTGTGTGTGGTGTGTGTGTGTGTGTGTGTGTGTGTGTGTGTGTGTGTATGTGTGTGTGTCTGGGGGGGCAGGACTGGAGCCCGGGCCTGGCGGTGGGTGTGTGTGTGTGCGTGTGTGTGTGTGTGTGTGTGTGTGTGTGTGTGTGTGTGTGTGTCTTGGATTGGACTGGAGCCCGGAGCTGGCGATGTAGCTTAATGTTTAACACCTAAGCTTGAGGGCCTGGGTTGGCGTCCCACACCAAAACAGAACAAAAAAGTGAACCCCACATAAATGATTCCCGCAGTCTATGGTCACATTAGGATCTCGCTATGTGGATCAGGCAGGCTTAGAACTCACTCTGTAGCTAAGGCTGACTTCGAATTTGCAGTAGACCTCCTGCCTTAGCCGCCCAAGTGCTGGAACCACAGATGTAGAGCTTCCAGGCCTGCTTTTTAAAAAAAAAAAAAAAAATTTTTTTTTTGGTCTTTTTGAGACAGGGACTCTGTAGCCCCAGCTGTCCTGGAACTCACTATGTAGACCAGGCTGGCCTTGAACTCACAGAGATCCTCCTGCCTCTGCCTCCTGAGTGCTGGGATTAAAGGCAAAAGTGTGCCACCATGCCTGGCTTTAAAATATTTTATTATTTTTGCTTTATGTGTATGAGGGTATTGCCTGAGTGTATGTAAGTGCACTCTTGCTGTGCAGTGCTCATAGAGGTCAGAAGAGAGTGTCGGATCCCCTGGAACTGGAGTTATTGATGGTTATGGGTGCTGGGAATTGAACCCAGTTCCTCTGCAAGAACATCCAATGCTCTTAACCACTGAGCCATCTCTCCAGTCCCCCAGGACTACTTTCAAAGACACAAAGGCCACCTGCATCATCCCACTCTGCTACTCAGCCTTTGGTATGCAGCAGTTGTTTCGAGAAAAGTGTCAGGATGACAGGGTGTATGAAGTTGGGCCACAGTAGAGAGCTCCTTGGTGTCTGAGAAGGGCTGTCTGTTTCCCTGGCTTCACTGGGCCCATTGAGCCTGTCCCAGAAACTGTCTGTTCTCTCTCAGCTCCCCAGAGCTGGGAATCTGTTACCTACAAGCAATAATCCAGCACGCTTTAACGCAGCTCCACCAAAGTGAGGGTCTCTGCCTCCACCAAATCAAGGGCCTCTGCCAGGCACAGGCACCACCCCCACTGCCGGTCACCAGAGAGGAATGCCCAGGACAAATGGTAACTAGTCACCAGGAATGAATTCGGTTACAGGCCACAGAATACCCAATTCGCAGGAGATTCCTCTTAGGAGAATTATTTTTCTCTTATCATTAGAGATCCAAGGTGGGGGTGTCCCAGCAGGGTGCTGCTCCCCGCCCCCCAGCATCTGTAGCAGTTGGATTTTCTTGTGGTTTGCAAGGTGGTCCTCAGAGTTCAAATACCAAGGTCACAGCATGAAGAAAAGACAGACATGTTCCCTGTCTCTCACCATCCCAGGCCCTGCAGTACCTGGGGAATCAGGCAGCAGGAAATCCAGGGCCACATGCTGCCCTCAGCCTTGAACTCGAAACAAACTAACCCCCCCTTTCTTTATAACTTGAAGACGGGGGGAAGGAGGAGAAACAGAGCATCACATCTGTCCTTTTTTTCTTTATTATTATTTTTCTTTATTTATTTTTTGTCTTTTTGAGACAGGGTCTCCCTGTAGCCCCAGCTGTCCTGGAACTTCACTATGTAGACCAGGCTGGCCTCGAACTCACAGAGATCCGCCTGCCTCTGCCTCCCAAGTGCTGGGATTAAAGGCGTGCGCCACCATGCCCGGCTACTTCTTTATTATTTTTATTTATATGTATGAGTGTATTGCCTGCGTATATGTAAGTTCACCTGTGTCATGCAATGCACGCGGAGTTCAGAAGGTGGTGTTGAGTTCTCCTGGAACTGGAGTTATAGACGGTTGTTAGTTGCCATGTGGGTGCTGGGCATAGAACCCAGGTCCTCTAGAGGAGCAGCCAGTGCTCTTACTGCTAAGTCACCTTGCCAGCCCCCACATCTGCCCTCTCTTATGGGGAGAGATCATGCACCTCCTTCCCAGGCCTCACTGGCAAGAGCAGGTGCATGTCCACCCCTGCTATGAGGGATTTTGAGGCAGTAGGGACCAGGCACCTGTCTGCAGGCAACCTATCTCTTCCCTAGGACTTGGTAGTTCCAACAATCCATGGACTGGGAAGCTGTGAGGAGAGGATCCTTCTTGGGAGTCAGGCCTCCTGGCACAGTGGCAAAACAAGTTAGCAAGAAACTCGCGCATGGCCCAAGGGAGGGACTCAGGATTAAGACTGTGTATGTTCTGGGGTCCTGCTGCAAAGCTGAACAGGTGAAATCAGCCTGCTGTTTCTACCTCCATCTGCCTCAGCTACAGCAGGGGAGCCACGGGCATCGTACCCCAGAAGTCCAGTAGATCCACTGCCACCCACCACCCCTTTCCAAAGCAGGCTCTGTGCAACGTCTACTTATGGTGTGTGGTGGTTTGAATGAGAATGTCCCCCGTAGGTTCCAAGTATTTGTATACTCAGTCAGTTGGTGGTGTTATTTGTGCAGGGTCATGGAACCTCCAGGACACATGGCCTTATTGGAAGAAGCATGTCACCGGAAGTAGGCTTCGAGATGTCATAGCTTGCCCATTTCCACTTTCTCTCTCTGCTTCCTTTGTCTGCCTGAAGATGTGGGTGCTCACGTTTTTGCTCTGGCCTCCCCACCATGACGGACTCTCACCCTCTGGAACCATAAGCCACAGAAACTCTTCCTTCTATAAGTTGCCTTGGTCATGGCGTTTTATCACAGAAAAGTAACTAATACATTGTATGAAAACATTGGGGGCTGGAGAGATGGCTCAGCAGTTAAGAGTACTGACTGCTCTTGCAGAGGACCCAGGTTCTATTCCCAGCACCGACATGGTGGCTATAAACCGCCCTTAACTCCAGTTCCAGGGGAATTGAACCCCTCTTCTGACTTCCACAGCATTGCACCACATGGGTGCACTCACATACACATAGGCAATACACTCATACACATAAAAATAAAATATTTAAAACAGCCAGGCATGGTGGCACACGCCTATAATCCCAGCACTCTGGAGGCAGTGGCAGGCGGATCTCTGTGAGTTCAAGGCCAGCCTGGTCTACATAGTGAGTTCCAGGACAGCTGGGGCTACAGGGAGACCCTGTCTCAAAAAGAAGAAAAAAAAAATCATATGCTTCCAATTCAAGGATGGAGGTACATGTATCTGATTGGTGGAGACTGGACCGTGTGAGAGGCCTAAAAGTAAGGGGTGCCTAACTTTACCCTTAGAAATAGGTTCTACCTCTTGAGCTGCGAACTGAGCTTAAACGGAGCTTCCTCACACTTGCTAGAAGCAGAAATTGGCATGATTTTGTGGGGAGAGGCTTAGCAATATGAATGGGCAGCCCAAAACGACTCCATTGGGCCTACTGTCCAGTAATTTCATTTTGGATCATCTCTCCTAAGGATGGTGGTATGACTAGTAGGGAACCTCCATGTCATCATGACGGAGTCAGTTATAACTGTAAACACGGCAACCGAGAT